AATAAATTAAAGAAAAAACCCAGACATGTTCTATAAATGTTTTTTATTAGATAAATACAAGGACGTTTTAGAAAATAAATATTAAAAAATGTTGCTACTTAATAGCGATATAAATATAACTTGTTTTTATTTACTAATCAAAGGTACTTTGGTTATTAGCATCATAATTAACGATTAGATGTATAATGGGATATTTCATTATGAAATAAAATTAATGTGATTTTTTTTATTAACAAACAAAAACAAAAATTATTTTTCTAATTTTGACATATTAAGTAACATTTTTTGTAATGGCAGCAAGAGCCAAATGATATACTTTACGTAACAAGTTGAACATTATGAAACTTGTTTCGAAAAATTCATTATGTCGCCAGTTGCGAAAAGAAAACAAATAAATAGTAACGTTTTATGGTTTTAAAATTAATTTTATACATTAAAATTAAAAGTTTATATGAAAGAAAGGCAGATTGACTTATAAAAATAGAATTTAGTCAAACTTACAACCTAGTAATAATGTTGTTTTGTTCCTTATTTTCCATTCCAAATCAGCACAAAATAATTAAAACGCAAAACATGACAAAATAACTCACTTTATTGAAATCTTAATAACTTTAACAAACAATATAAACACACTACAACAAATCATTGAGAATAAATTATTATTTTCTATTTGTCAATAAAAAACTGAAGTTAAGATATTTCTGTTATTTTCTCTATATGCGCTCCGAGGCGTAGAGGAAGATTTTAAGATTATTCTAGCCAGGATTGAATATTTCTAGGCCGTTACATTTTTATATAAATAGCGCGACTTTGTCGATAGAAGTTAAGTTTCATTATATGTTGTCAAGTAAAGATAAATTGTTGTATAAATTAGAAATGTGAATTATTATAATAGTGCTTAAGTCTAAATTAATTAATTAGTAATTGGGGTAAATAAATTATAAATAAACTGTTTTAAATAAATTAACTATTTTTAAATTAAACAATCGTTACATTGGACAAAAATGACTAAAAACTGTGAGTTACAAGAACGTGAACTAGAGACGACAGGAAAGAAAACAGAGTTGACAGAGCAGCCTGAAAAAGCAATGAAAAGTGAAGGTTTGTATTTGGAAACGTATCAGAAATTTTATACGATTTGGAAGCTAAAATGTCTTCTATAGAAAATAAAATTTCCTATGATGTTTCTTCTATAAAAAAATATTACTTCCTTAGAAAGTAAAGTTTCTTCTGATATTTGTTCCTTAGAGAAAAAAAATTCTTCTTTGGAAGATAACTCTTCCGATATCTCTTCTTTATAAGATGAAATTTCTTCCGACTTGGAAACATTTTTCTATGGAAAATAAGATATCTTTAGTTGAGGAGAAAATAATGTCTTTATTTGAGGAGAAAATAAAAGAGATGAAAAGGAAGATAGAGGAAACGGTGAAATAAAGTGTCATGAGGTGGAGTCAAAATTGAAATTAGAAGGAACTGTAAACTCTACTCGTGTTAAAGCCCCAACTTTCAACAAGAAGATGTCGTGGACCAATTATCTGAAACAATTTGAAACAACTGCGAGAGCAAACGAATAGTCTGAAAGAGAAAAGGCAAAAACTTTGACCATCGCCCTTCGAGGAGAAGCTTTAGATGTTCTTGAGACTATACCTGAGGAAAAGACAGACTTGAAAGGAGACTAAATTTGCGATAAAGCCACGAAAATTTGAAGCATTTGCATCAATCACAGCTTAAGAATCACAAATAGGAACGTGACAAGACCCTGTAAGAATATGAAGTAAATATTGCCAGGTTGGTACGCTTTGCTTACCTCTAAAAAACACAATGGGATGTTTGGCAGTCCAAACTTTTATTGATGTACTCCGTGACCAAGAAATGCAGTAAACACTCCGCTTAGCCCATCACAAATAGTTGATGTCTTCTCCGCTGCTATAGAGTATGAGGCAGCTACGCAGGCTTCTGGTGGACACAGTAAAGTGAGAACTATAAAAGACGTGACAGAGAAACTCGACCAACTGGTTAACATAATAAATAATTTTACTAATAAAAAGATGAAAATGAAGACGAAGACCATCAGGTGCTGGAATTGTGGTGAACTCGGACATGTACGCAGTTCGTGAAAATGCCCTAGGGTGACAACCAATGAAGACAACCCGCCGCAGGAAAACTAGAGCGGGTCAACCCGAAACCGTTTCAAAAATTGTCTTATACTAATAGCCTCTATACGTAGCCAGGACAGTAAATGGTAAGAAGTATACATTGTTAGTAAATACTGGAGCAACTAGGACCATTACACCAACAACCATAAATAATCGCAAGATACTTATACCAACCAGATTGCGACTACAGGTGAAAGTGCCAACATCCATGGGGAAACACAGGTTTAATGAGGAATTGATACAGAAAAGTTCATTTATAATTAAAGAATATGTTATACTTGGAATGGATGTAATGAAGTTCCATGGTTTCCAGTTGGATTTTAAGAACCGACTGATCAAAGCTGCTGCCGAAGAGATATTTCTACATCGATACGAGGACAGAATCGTGCAAGTAGCTGTATAGACAGATAAGGTAGAAGTAAAACCATTATAGTAGCTCGACTTTAAGAAACTGTGAAAGAAGGAACAGCTGTAATGATGAAACCTTGGCACCACGATAAAGAGGTTCGACCAGGAATTCTGATCGGAAAGAGGTTGGTCACGACTGCTAAAAAAATTCCAGTTTGTATCATAATCATTAATGATCACTCAATTACCAACAAGAAAGAGACCAGAATCAGAACCTGTGTACCAATAACTTTTATAATTCGTCAGACAACAATTTGTGATAATTCCAACGATAAATTCGATCAAATAAAAAAGTTTCTCGTAAATCTCTGAATTAATTAAAGAAAAGGAAAATAAAGGCATATCTGGACATGTTTGTACCAAAAGAAAGAAAAACAGGAATAACGTAAGAACGTAAAACAAAAAATTGACACTGGTGATGCCAGACCGATTCTTCAGTCAGCTAGAAGATTACCAAAGGCCAAGAAAGAGGAAGCTAAAAGGATTATTTGGGAAATAGAGTAAGACAGGGTGATAGAATCTTCTACCAGCCCATGCGTCTTTTCGGTAGTCCTGGTCCAGAAAAATATTAAAACTACGAGGTTCTTTGTAGATTACCGTCAATTAAACAATGTCATAAAAAAAGACAGTCTCGAATCGACGATACCTTGGACACATTGGCAGGAAGTAAACTGTTTTACTATTTTAGACTTGAAGTCTAGATATTGGCAGCTAGAAATAGACCCAGTACACAAAGAAAAGACAACTTTTACCACCGGATCTGGATTGTGGCAATTCAGTGTAATTCCCTCCCGATATTCGAAAGACTGATGCAAAATGTATTGAAAGTGTTTTCCTGGAAAATATTCCTGATTTACTTAGACGACATCATCGTTTAATTTATGGTAAATCCCAAGAAATAATAGCTATTCCAAAATAAAGTCAATTACCTGGGTCATATAGTGAGCACGGATAGCGTGGCATTAGATAAGAAGAAAGTTGCTTCTATCAAAGAGTGGTCACAACCAACTGATAAACGTCAAATAAGAAGTTTTCTTGGGCTTTGTACGTACTTCCGAAGATTCATAAGAAAGTTCGCAGATATTGTTAAGCCAAGACTGCCAAACTGCCTTTGAAACTTTAAAGAAGCATTAAACAACACCGCCAATACTAGGCTACGCACTACCAGACGGAAAATTTAATCTGGATACTGATGCCAGTAATGTGGGAATTGGAGGAGTACTTACACAGATTCAGAGGGAAAATAAAGAGTACTGGGTTATTTTAGTAAAGTGCGCTCGAAACCCGAGCGAAATTATTGCCTCACGAGAAGAGAACTCCTGGCAGTTGTGAAATGCATGGAATACTTCTACCAGTACCTGTATGGAACGAAGTTAAGTAGCTAACGCAGTTTAAAAACCCGCATGGACAAATCGTCAGATGGATTGAACGACTTTAAAAGTTTTAAAAGTACGACTTTAAGATCGAACAAAGAGCCAGAATAAGCCACAGACATGCTGATTTACTTTCTGCAACAAAGCAAAATCCAAAGAAAGTGGACTACTAAGATCAACTATAGACAATGATGAGTGGCCTCTGTCAAACTTAGGGAAGAACAAGAGAACGATTCCGTTTTAAAGAAAATGGATAGAAAAAAATCGTCTACCTACTTGGCAAGAAGTATCAAATCACCATTCAGTAGTTGTCATATTTGGCTCAGTGGGATTTTTTTATTGCGGAAGAAGGCTTATTGAAGCGAGTACTAGAGAATGATGATGTTCCGAAAACAGAAGACAGTTGATCATTCCAAAGACTACAATAGCCGAAGTTACTCGACAGTTCATCAGGACGACATCTTGGTGTAAGAAATGTACCACCTATGCTATGAGTAATGGACCTCAACGAAAAAGGAAAGCTCTTATGAAGTAATACAACATTGGTAACCCATTTGAGAGAATCGCTTTAGATATTTCTGGACCATTCCCCGTGACCGAGGATGGCAATAAATACATTTTGGTGGTTATGGACTATTTAACAAAGTGGGTGAAAGTCGACGCCATTCCAAGTCAAGAGGCCGTTACTGTTGCAGACATGTTAATAAAAAATTAATCTAGCAGTTGGTTATCGTTGTATTTACCCTACCTGCCAACGTAGCTACTCATGCTTGTACTTTATTAAATTTGATAAGAAGTCTATTTCCATTTGCCTCCTTCTGCGTCAAATTTAAAATATAATTTGATGGGCTCTTATAGTTTGGAACATCTCAACTTCGATTCTAATGTATTAAGATTCAAGTGATTAACTTGAAAAACCGGAACAAATTGAGCTACTCTTTTCTATTCACTGCGCATATGATTTTGGTCATTTCAGCTATTTCATATTCTTAACAGCTAATATTTTTTAGTAAAAATTTATAAATTCTACAAAATTAATGAAAACAGGAAAGGGGAGAGTTTTTTAGACAATAATTCTCTTTTTTAGTGAAATATGGATGCCGTTCTTTGAAACTAATATCGTTTCCGGGGCCAATTGTAAATCTTGTACTGGAGATGCAGGCAGAAGCTCGAAAGTTCTTATTACTTTTGACAGTGTACTCTTCAGTTCTAACATTGCAAATTTTTGTCCTGAAATCAAAAAGCAAAATACACATTATTACGTACTTAACAAATTAGCCACTTTATTGACATAAGAAATCGTAACGTCATTGAAAAAAATAACTAAACTAACACTGGTATATGCCTTTCTATTAATAATTGTTTCCTCCAAATTGTCTCAGGACACAGATTTTAATTTGTAAAAAAAGCTAATTGTATCAAATCCGGAAAACGTGCTGGCTAAGTTTTACTTATCTATCAATTCAGCTATAAGTAGGCATAAAAAATTAAGCAGTTCATCCAGTTTTATCTATGCGAAATTATTTTGTTTTATTTCTCTTTATCTTTCCCCTTTCCCCTTTCCCCTTTCCCTTCCCTTTCCCCTTTCCCCTTTCCCCTTTCCCCTTTCCCCTTTCCCCCTTTCCCCTTTCCCCTTTCCCCTTTCCCCTTTCCCCTTTCCCCTTTCCCCTTTCCCCTTTCCCCTTTCCCTTTCCCCTTTCCCCTTTCCCCTTTCCCCTTTCCCCTTTCCCCTTTCCCCTTTCCCCTTTCCCCTTTCCCCTTTTCCCCTTTCCCCTTTCCCCTTTCCCCTTTCCCCTTTCCCCTTTCCCCTTTCCCCTTTCCCCCTTTCCCTTTTCCCCTTTCCCCTTTCCCCCCTTTCCCCTTTCCCCTTTCCCCTTTCCCCTTTCCCCTTTCCCTTTCCCCTTTCCCCTTTCCCCTTTCCCCTTTCCCCTTTCCCCTTTCCCCTTTCCCCTTTCCCCTTTCCCCTTTCCCCTTTCCCCTTTCCCCTTTCCCCTTTCCCCTTTCCCCTTTCCCCTTTCCCCTTTTCCCCCCCTTTCCCCTTTCCTCCCTTTCCCCTTTCCCCTTTCCCCTTTCCCCTTTCCCCTTTCCCCTTTCCCCTTTCCCCTTTCCCCTTTCCCCTTTCCCCTTTCCCCTTTCCCCTTTCCCCTTTCCCCTTTCCCCTTTCCCCTTTCCCCTTTCCCCTTTCCCCCTTTCCCCTTTCCCCTTTCCCCTTTCCCCTTTCCCCTTTCCCCTTTCCCCTTTCCCCCTTTCCCCTTTCCCCTTTCCCCTTTCCCCTTTCCCCTTTCCCCTTTCCCCTTTCCCCTTTCCCCTCATCTTTTATTTCCCTATCTTCTTCTCCCCTTAGTACATAGTAGACTACTGCAGTAGACGCAATTTGATTTAAATTATATAGTTTTTTAAGTTTCACATACAACTATTAACTTTTTGTACAAATTAGAAGACAGCTTGGTTTCAAAATAAGAGTTCGTTATAAAATTTGTTTTTATTATTTGGTAAGCAAATCATTTTTTATTTTTCAAATTTAACTATTAAAAAAACCGTCCTTTGTAGCTCTGATAAGGGCCTACAGTGGTAGAAACTTTTTACAAAAGTCTATGGCATATTAGTTGACTTTTATTTTTTTATAATAATAGGTATACTTGATTCTTGCAGAAAATAACACTGCAATATGATTTATCATCATCATTATTTTATTTGTTTTCTATTTCAACTACAAATAGATAAATAAAGATCTAACTTTTTCATTAAATATTTAAATTGTCTTCTATTAATCCACCATTACCCCACTACCATTTAGAATCTTAATTAGTACGTACAAATCACAATTATATTATATGCAACTTTCAAAAGCAGCTTTGGCTAAATACATATGCAATGTATGTATATTATTTTTTAGCTAATTTTTCATTAAGAGACATATATGAAGTACAAATTAATATAATTGAATTTTAATAGTAATAAAAAATATACCTACCTATACAATTTCTAGGGCCTGCACTAAATGGAACATATACGTAAGGATTAACCCTAGATGAGTCTTGGAATCTTTCTGGTTTGAATTCTAATGGATCTGGGAAATATTCCGGATTTCTGTGCATTGCAAAAGTAAAAAGCATTATGTTTAAGCCTTTCGGATACAAAACTCCATCTAAAACATAGGATTTATTGCTTTATTAAACAAAATTAATAAATTATTGGAATATAAAATTAGTAGAAATATTCTGATAAATTATTGTATTATTAGAATTGTAAGACAGAGCCGACTCTGTGGTACTAGTTTAAAATGATAGTGACCTATAGTTAAAGAGATTTCTTTTTATTTTTTACTTTCAATAAAAAATTATTACTAATTTGTTAACTTTACCCAACTCCAAATCTTCTGTTAACGTTCTACCATTAAACGGTACTGAAGGGTATAACCTCAAGGCCTCTTTTATCACTAATTCTAGATATTTCATTTCTTGTAATTGCGGTATACTTGGCTTAGCATTTCTCAAATCTTCAAATATATTCGTTTGTTCCAAAAATAATTTTTCCTAAACTATTTTAAATATACACATAAAACGTAACAGAGGAATATTAATTACTTCTACAATAACTTTTACAATACCTTCTACAATAACTTCTACAATAACTTTTACAATTACTTATACAATAACTTCTACAATAACTTCTACAATAACTTCTATAAAACTTCTACAATAACTTCGAAAATTATATCTTCAATAACTTCTACATTAACTTTTACAATAACTTCTACAATAACTAACGTCTACAATAACTTCTTCAATTTCCTATTTCTACAAAAACTTCAAAATTAACTTTTACAATGACTTCTACAATAACTTTTACAATTACTTCTACAAATACTTCTACAATAACTTCTACAATAACTTCTACAATATCTTCTACAACAACTTCTACAATAACATCTACAATTACTTCTACAATAACTTCTACAATAACTTCTACAATAACTTCTACAATAACTTCTACAATAACTTCTACAATAACTTCTACAATAACTTCTACAATAACTTCTACAATAACTTCTACAATAACTTCTACAATAACTTCTACAATAACTTCTACAATAACTTCTACAATAACTTCTACAATAACTTCTACAATAACTTCTACAATAACTTCTACAATAACTTCTACAATAACTTCTACAATAACTTCTACAATAACTTCTACAATAACTTCTACAATAACTTCTACAATAACTTCTACAATAATTTTACAATAACTTCTACAATAACTTATACAATAACTTCTACAATAACTTCTACAATAACTTCTACAATAACTTCTACAATAACTTCTACAATAACTTCTACAATAACTTCTACAATAACTTCTACAATAACTTCTACAATAACTTCTACAATAACTTCTACAATAACTTCTACAAAAACTTCTACAATAACTTCTACAATAACTTCTACAATAACTTCTACAATAACTTCTACAATAACTTCTACAATAACTTCTTTAATAACTTCTACAATAACTTCTACAATAACTTCTACAATAACTTCTACAATAACTTCTACAATAACTTCTACAATAACTTCTACAATAACTTCTACAATAACTTCTACAATAACTTTTACAATTATTTCTACAATAACTTCTACATTATATTCTAGAATAACTTTTACAATTACTTCTACAAATACTTCTACAATAACATCTACAATAACTTCTACAATAACTTCTACAATAACTTCTACGATAACTTATGTAATAACTTATACATTAGCATCTACAATAACTTCTATAATAACTTTTACAATAACTTCTAAAATATCTTCTGCAATATCTTCTACAATAACTTCTACAATATATTCTACAATAACTCCTACAAAAAAATTGTACAATAAATTATATAATGTTTATTATTTACCTGTATTTCTGGATGTGTTGATAGAGCATACATAGTAAAGCTTATAGCTGATGAGGTTGTATCATGTCCCTAAAAAAAAGATTCACTATAGAGGGAAAATCCTTTTATAACAAGAAAAGTCGATTTTAATGTTGATTGAACTTAATCTCCCCCTTCAACACACTTGAAGTCCAGGTACTTCTTTAAAATATGTCAATGAATCAATCTATTGGCCAAATTAAGAGACGTTCGATAGTAAATTCAAATAAAAAAATATTTAAATATACTTTCATAAAACCGTACACATTTCACCTTTTTATGGACGCCACTGAATGACAAATCGCTGTTACCAAACTGAATTTTAAAATTCATTATAAACCTTTAAAAAATCAATCATTTAGAGTCATCCGGTATGTTATACAACATGAAAGGTAATTAGGTACCTATGTAATTTATTACTGAGTAATAAAACAATGTTGTAATGTAAGTAAACCACAAACCACGGCTACAATTATTCCCCAAAGACATTTTTTATTGTTAACATGTGTGTATTTCAACACTATAAAAAAATAATAAAATATATTTTATATATTTTTAAGGTTTCCATAATTTATTAGTAAAGAGTTTAAACTGACTAGAGGTAGATTACACGAAATTGGGAAAATTGGCAATTGAATGCAGTAAAAATTATTTCGTAAAAATAATAATAATATTCAATGAAAATAGTAGATTTTATATTTAATGAAAATAGCAGATATTAAACTCAAAACAGTAGAACAAGCGTGGATCCCATTTAGATAGATGACTTTCATTTTTCTTGGGTTAAAAACTGAATTCGCTTTGTCCAAACTAAATATAGCCCAAGAGCCCATTGCAAATTTTTACCGTCATCTGATAACGAAATAAAATATACCCCAAAAGCATGTAAAAACATTGTACTTTACGAAATGATACCTGTGCCAATCCCAATCCTGAGCAAAGTAATTAAAAAAATGTATTTTATATTAAAAAAATCACACAAGGAATGACAGCGCTAATTTTTAATTTCACCTTTTGCAAATATATTCCAAAAAAGTACCACTGGATCCCTTACTATAGTAGTTTTTCTTATTTTTAGAAGTTACTTGTGTTTTATTAAAATATAAATAGATCTATTTAATCATTTTTCATTTTATTTTACACAAAATTACTAAGATAGCCGGGTTTGTAGTAATGATGATCCAAAATTTAAAAAAATAAAAAAAACCGTTATGATTGATAATGATTTAAATAAAAACTCCAACGAATCTTATAGGTAAAATATAGTGTAACCCTTAAATCACCCACTTAATAAACAATTATAAAGAACATACTTCAAACATAAAGGTATCCACTTCTTCTCTAATATCCAACCTAGATAATGGTTCTCCATCAATAGTGCTCTTTAATAAAAGATCCAAAAATGCTAATCGTTGCTTCTTTCCCACATTATCAGTATAATCGTCTTCGCTCTTATCGGTTTGCTCGTTCATTCGTGTTTCAATAATTTTATCTGTATGAGCGTGCAGTACTTTCAAAGCACGTTTTTCACGAAAATAGTTTATTGTAAATGGGTAAAGAATTGGATGAATCGGTGAAATCATTCTTTCAGTTAGAATACTGCACATAACTTTGACTTTTTGAACGTATTCTGAATTTTTTTCAGATTGTGCGTTTATCTTGATTCCCATAGCCGCCTCTACAAAGAATACAAGTAAAAGTAGTTAATAAGAGAATGAAGATTACATTTGTTTATTAATTTTGATAAGAATATAGGATAAGAGCTATTACTCAGGGAGGGGCTAAGAGAAGTAGACAATACTACATGAAATAAGTGATACAGCTTTCACCTTAGAGCATATATGCTCTAGGTAGGCAGAAAAACCACTCACGCGACGTCGCACGCAACCTGCCGCACGCGATTTTAAACAGACGACAAGCAGCGTTACTGACGTTCTATTACAAAATAGAGATGGACTAAGTAAAAGCGGAATATGTTCGTTATCAGAAAAAAGTGAAACGTAGGTACTGAATTCATCCTTTATTCTGAATTTATCCTAAATTGCGCAGTTAATTTACTTTATAATACACTGTTTCCTATTTGAGATTGGTCTTGAATCTCAGATATACAGGGTGTTGTATGACGTACTGTACAAATTTAAATAGCATATTCCAGAGTTCATTTTAAACAAAAACTGTATTATGAACAAATATCCAATTCGCTTTGGTTACCAAACTACAAGTGTTTAAAGATCATAAGATAAATTAACGCAGTATGCCGTGAGTTTGAATATGTTAAAATACAGCGCTAAACATTTGGTGATTTGGAACTTGTAGGCACGTCCACGAATTTTCATCACAAAATCCATAAATATACACTATGTCAGCATATTCTTTATTTGGAAACAGCACAGGCATGTTGCAAATTTAAATTCATCACAAACAAAAACGAAGTTGACCAATGTAGGACTGACTGGTCAACAGATGTTTATAATTGTTCACGACACAAGGTCTCTTCTGTCAGACCGATATTATACATATGTTTTTTAAGCCTACAATGCCATGTAAATAGACCTACTAGTACTCTATTATTTTTCCTATTAAGGCTTAGTAAATGCTCGGTAAGTTTAGAAGATGGTCTTTTTAAGAACTCTTTAGCCTGTCTCTGTCCTGGTAAGTTTTCCACCACTCCTGAGATTTTTTAAACATCCACTTATAGTTGTTTTTGTTACACCACTGAAGGGTTCTGGGCCAATAAGAGCATTTGAGGCTCTTTCTCGGGCTAGTAAATCAGCCTCTTCATTGCCCTTATGTCCTCCGTGGCCTGGTACCCAGGCTAAGGTTGGTCTGTTTTGACTACCCAGCTCTGTTAGGACTTCCAAACAGTTCCATATAAGCTTTGAGTGTACCTGCATAGAACAGTGCTTTTAACGTCGCTTGACTGAGTATATGACAATGGGTTTTCCATTTACCTTCTGTCTTAATACTTTTTAGCGCACTGATGTATTGCCGCTATTTCTACCTGAAATACTGTCGCATGTTTACCTAAGCTCATTGAGATTATTGTCTTTGGCTTGGTACTATATATACCTACTCCTGAACCTTCATGGGTTTTGGAGCCGTTTGTATACCATGTGAAATCTGCATGAATAGTAAGTCCTCCCGTCCACGCTTTCCTGTCTGGTATACTTATATTGCTTTTGAAAGCTATACTTTGGAAGTCCCATTATTTGGTTGTTCTACAACTCTTTATACAGCTCGCTGTAGTCGCGTCCATGCAAACTGCTTATAGGTGATGAACCTTTGTGCCGTCTGTATGTGACAGACCTGGCTTCGCTTTGAATGAATATATGTAGTGGTGTTAGGTTTAGCATGACATCTATAGCTGCTGTTGGAGTTGTTCTTATAGCTCCCGTAGTACTCAGGCATGCTTGCTTTTTGGATACCATTGAGCTGTCGAATGGCTCCAGCTTGCAGAGTCTTTGGCCACCATACCATTGACCCGTAGGTTATCATCGTCCTTATGACTCTGGTATATAACCATAGGGACATTTTTAGTTGTAGTCACCAATATTTTCCACACAACCTTCGACATAAGTTGAAAGATGTTGTGCTCTTTTGGGTAACTTTTTCACACATCGTCGTAAATATCATGAAGTGACATAACTCGAAAAAATTGAAAATTGAGATAAATCACATATTATGTAAAAATGTATGCTCTACAATTTTACGAAATTACGTGTCTCAATTCATTACATTTATTAAAATAGCACGTATCTAACCAGTATATCGGATAGTTTCACGAAGAGACGCAACTTTATAAAAAAAACTTTAAAACGATCTTTTGTAAAGTTGTGAAAATCTAATTACGTCACTTCGTGATACTGATGACGATATCTTATTCTTGTTTTATTTGCAACAATAAATTAACTAAATTTTCATAAAATTTGTGCAATATGTGTACTTACACAATAACTTTTCTACTTTCACCTTATAAAAACCACAACCTTTAATCATGAAGTAATGTTACAATTTTTTATTATTGTAAATGTCTCGTTACTTTTATTTATCTATGTAGATTTATCAGATTTTTATGCCACGTGACGTCATATCATATGACAACATCAAAGTATGTGTATGACAAGGATAGAGCTAACATGCGCAGAAACATACCGGTATTTGTGAAGGTATCGTGGTTAAAAACTATAAAATATTAATAATATAATATTTAAACTAGTTTTTCCATTATATCAGATGTAAATAATAAGAAATCTTCAGGAATAATTCAAAAAAATTATTACTGCCCAAAATAAAAATTTAAATGTTGTATGTTGGTATCTTTCGTATCTATCTAGCTGTCAAACTCATTTACTAAAATTAAAAACAGGGTGATCAACTTATACTCCGGAGTTTGATATCTCCGTTGTTTTGAGGAATACGAAGAAAAGTTTTAAATACAAATTATAGATAGAGTGCAGCTCTACATTTTAAAATTATTTCGTAATATACAGGGTGTTTCATAAAGTCACAGCATACCAAAGTTGTTTTTTTAGTGGAACACCCTATATGTTCTCTCGAATTTGAGTTTGGCTCATTTTCCCCATTCCGGCAATATAGGGTTTAATCAGGTTCTACAGGGTACTTTAAAATAAATGGCTACTTTATGTGAAAATCTTAAAGAAATCGTCACCCTGTTAATACAGATTCTAATTAATATTAGAATCAACAATTGAGAGTTAATGTCTCAGGGCCAGGATAATTTCGTAGTAGTCTAGTTCTGTTGTAACTCATCATGTTTTTGAAATCTTTCATTTTGTATACAGGGTAACCCAATACCCACGACCATGATATTCTCGGTTATTTCAAATGGAACACCCCACATCTTATGTCATTTTCTTAAACTGCTTACAAAATACTTTTACTTTTGTTAGGCATTCCCTATACATAAATGTTACAGTCGTAGAATTATTTCGATTTTTAATAATAAAAGTATATTTTTGGTAAATTCTGAAAGTTACGTAGAGTGGCAATTGACAGCTTGAAAAACAAGTTATAAATATTCTGAAAATAAAAAATATAACTACAGATTTTTTAACAAGACTATCATTAATATTAACAGCTATTAACTAAACAAAAAATTCGAAATAGTACTTAGAACAAAATAATTACAATAACTGCTCAAAATGACCTGCTATTACATTTAAACGGAGTTGTACCTGATATTCAAATGACCTCCCCACATTTCTAGCCATTGGAATACTAATGTTTTGGAAAACAACCTTTATTCTATTTTTCATGTCCTCTCTTGTAGTTACAGGTATTTTATACACCTCATTTTTAACATAGCCCCACAGAAAAAAATAAACTTTTAGTCAGATCTGGGCACTCAATTGGTCCTCCCCTGCCTATCTATCGTTCTGAAAATTGATCAAGTTGACCATGAATTACTGCATTATGATGTATTCGAGCCCCATCATGTAGATACCACATTTGCTAACGTATACGAACATTTTCAAGAAATATAGGCAACTAATTCTACAAAGAAATCTAAATAAACTTCACTGTTAATTGTTTCCTCAAAACAATATGGTCTAATTACATCTTGTTTGAGAAGTAGTAACTGTCGCACAAGGATTTTCTCTGGCATAATAGTGAAAATGGTTTATTATTTAACTTACCACAAATAATATCTAAGGTCATCAAAGACACTAACGGACTTATATCAACACTATCCTTTCCAATTTCTCTTTCAAGTTTTTTTATAAAAATATTGCTAACATTGTCGAAGATCTCAACAAAATTATCCAAAATCGAAAAATGAAAAGAGGGCGTCAACATACGCCTGCGTTTTTTCCATTTTGTACCTAAAAACTCAAATGAATTGTTACAAAAATATAGTTTTAAATATTATATCTATTTCTCACCCACGCTGGTGAGCAATCCAGTTCCTAACCAAGATTGTAGGTAGGTATAAGGACCATCTTTATTGATGAATGCATATGAACTTAGTATGTGCTCAAAAAGCTTGGCTTCTCTAGTTACTAGTCCTATACTTAAAGGTCCATCATGTACTATAATTGTCGAGCCATAAGTATCCATATAATTCGTAAGACAACCTATCCATCCTAAAAAAAATAATTAATCTAAATCTAAAATACGTGTTGAATTTAAATCAATAATTGTTGCAGCTATATTATGCCAGAGGAGAGCAGACTGCGTTATGGCGTATATATTTGGGGATTTTCTACGTTCTCCATAAATATTTTTATCTCTTAAAATTACACCTATTAATGATTTTTATAAGCATTCAAATGAATCTTGATTTAATCATTTTCTTCATAATGTTGCCCAGCACCTTGCAGCATGCTGCAGTCATCATAAGTAAAAGTTCGAAAATAAAATAGTCCAGAAATGTCATTCATTGTCAAGAAAAATCTAGAATTTCACGAAGGTGAAAGCAAGCTATATACGCGGATGATCCTGACGTCAATTTTCCAAATCACCATTTTCATCCTCAAACCAAGCAAAAACCCCAAATCCGTAAATTCATACAGACCCATCTCTCTCATATCAGTCCTAGGGAAACTCCTCGAGCTTCTGCTTAAGGAAAGAATCTGGGAATTTTGTGAAGAAAGAAATATCATACCTCAATTCCAACATTGTTTCAGACCCCACCACTCCACTCAGGACGCAATCTCCTCCCTTCACACTACTGAGGTCACGGCAGTAAACTTTCAACAAATCTCTTTAGCCGTTCTCTTAGATGTTCAAAAAGCCTTCGATCAAGTCTGGCATGTCGGACTAGTCAAAAAGCTTATGAACATAGGTCTCTCACTCATAAACTCCTACCTCTCAGACAGATAAATCACCGTCAAAGTGGGCAACTCCCTATCAGACACAATCACCCCACTCGCGGGTGTTCCACAGGGCTCCGTCCTGGCCTCTCTCCTCTTCCTCATCTACACCCACGACATCCCCCCCCCCAAACCACCCTATATCCTATACGCCGACGATACAGCTCTAATCTCGGTAGCCAAAAATTTTAACCAACTAAATACTCGAACCCAAAATCTATTAAACCAGTACTCTTTCTGGTGTAGCAAATTGAGGGTCTCATTAAATCCACAAAAACCACAATTCATCGTCTTTAAACACCCAAATTCTCAAAGCACCTCCTAGAACCCCCAACTCGTAAATGTAAATCTCCTGGAAATCAGGCTCGCTCAACAGACTGAAGTTGACTATTTGGGGGTACGATTTTCTCGTACACTTAACAGGTCCTCTGATGTCCAACGCACTCTTGATAAGATGCGAAAACGAGCCAGTCTACTTGGGGCTTTGTGCGGACGAATGGGGCGTTGCAACACAAACACCCTTATGCACACTTACAATTCCTTCATCTGACCCGTTCCCGAATACAAAGCTGTACCCTATGGCGTACTTCCCACACACATGTCCCACAAATTCACCACACTCGAGAGACGTATTCTCAGACGTTGCCAATATCTCCCCTCCCGCTCCCCCAGCAGAGAAGTTTTCGAAAACATCTACAACACCCCCATCCTCACACGTTTCCAAATCCTCAGGAAACAATACGTCTCTCGCACGCTGAAAGGCAGCAACACACACTCTACGAACCCCATGGCGCCCTAACCAACTTCCGCTTTTTCGAAAACTGAAAAACAAAAGGCCTCTACCTAATCTGAGACTTCTCTCAGATTCCCAAGACCTCCCCCTCACCGCTGAACTCCAGGATCTGCTAGAATCAGCCCCCTAAGTATTAGATAAACCCTTCCCAATCATATAATTAGAAATTCACAATATGTACAATATCGTGATTTAGGTTTTGTGGTTTTCCTAAATCTAATTCCCCACCCTATACTTGGACTTGTCTATTTATGGGATTGGAAATAGCAAAATTGGCGATATTTTTGGGAAACACAACCTGCCACATAGGTCCCACACGCGCACACGACACCATTAGGAAATAGCTAGCTTGGTTACTTTTATAATCAGGGCAGACCACCCTGAAAAGGAGAATAACTCCTATAGCAAGGAAATAGGAAAATCAAATGTCCTAGAAAAATGTAAAACAAGTCAATAATAAACCACTGCGCACGATACAGATATGGATAATTCAGGCCCACTAGCATGGTTTTTGAAGATGGAAGAGGAGAAAAAGGCGAAGGAAGAAGTGGAGGAAAAAGAAAGGCGCAGGAAAGCAGAAGAAGGGAAAAACGGAAGGCGAAAAGAGGAAAAGTAAAGGTATAGGAAAACAGAAGAAGAGGAAAAGGAAAGGCATAGGAAAGCAGAAGAAGAGGAGAAGGAGGAGAGGCGTAGAAAAGAAGCGATTGAAATTATGAACGGTTCGCTACAAATCCAGGAAACTTTCAAGCAAGAGGTTGGTCAGCGTAACAATAGAGTAGATCTTTTGGCACAACAACAAGAGTTTTTAAAAACTAATGTAAAACAACAGCAAGAGAAGTTAAAAACTAATTTGGAGCAACAACAAGAGTATCTAACAACTCATTTAGAACAATAGCAGCAGAATTTAAAAAGCAATTTAGAACACCAACAAGAGAATTTAAAACAACAGGAAAAGGCAAGAATACAGTTAGAAAGGCAAATTAGAGCTGAAATGGTAAAGTTAGGAAGAAGAATTCGTGACCAAGCTTCGGTGAGCAACACTACCTCGTCTTCATCTACAGCCGAACCAAGTCACATTCAAACCCCCAGTTACACATAACTATGTTAGCAAGATCCTTAAACAACCCACATTTGACGGCCAGATGATATGGGAAACGGATAAACTTCAATTTGAAGCTGCAGCTAGAGCCAATGGCTGGGCCGAGTAAGAGATGGCGGCTGCATTGAAAAGTCTCGCTGCGAGGACAAGCAGCAACCGTTTTACAGTTACTTCCACAAGAAGAATCCAGTTACTCATCTCTCGTCTCTTTGGAGACAAGATATAGCCAGCAGTATTTGAAACGGGTATTTCAAAGCCAGCTAAAGATTCGCAGTCAGAAACATAATGAGAGTCTACAGGATTTAGAGGCTGATATAAAACGATTGATTCATCTGGCCCATCCACAGGCACCCAAACATTTCCAAGAACAAATCGGCATACGGGAATTCATTGATGGACTACAAGATGTGGAAATGCAGCAAGCCCTTCGTCTACAACATTACATGACGCTGAGGAAGAAACTGATTGCAGCCCAGGAGTATTAAGCGGTAAAACTCATAACCAGATCTTCTGGCGCAAAAGTAAGGTAAATTAAATCCCAGGAAAGTAAGGAGTTCAATACTAATGCTATTCCCCAACCTATCCTCTTACAGATTCTAAATATTCTACGAAATAAGCAACAAAATAGCTAAAATGGAAGCAGGAGATGCTTTCATTGCGGAAGAATCAGGCATCTCCAAAAAACCTGTAGAAGCATGGCTTTAAATTGCTGAGACCGGAAAATCATATAGATCACTCTGCCGAAGCTCGTCACGAAGTCCAACAATAAATAATTACATCAGATATGCGTCTTGAAGAAGCCAATCATCCACACCAAGCCGGCTTTCTAGCAATAACCAGAAAGTATAGCATCAAAATGGTCTTCATAGCAACACAGACATTCTCTTTGGGCGACCCTGTTTAGAAGGACAATGCCGGTACAGTAAAAGGCTCGAAGAACGAGATGAACTGGTTAATAAAGTTACTCTTCGGGCAACCACTATCAAACCAGAGGGCGATGAAGAAGAAATCACCCTTGAAAGCCTGAAAAAGAGACAGAAGAAAGACAATGACTTAAAGGTTATCCGAGAATGGCTTAAAAATAAAGTCACACCTACTTGGCAAGAGCCAAATACAGTAGAGCTATAAAAGGGTACCGGACTCAGTGTGATTCCCTGTATCTTCACGATGGCCTATTATAACGGAAGTGGGAAAGCCCCGATGGAGTACATGTAGCCTGTCAAGTGGTATTGCCAAAATCATATGTTAGAAGTGTGTTGGAGCCGTTCGGGAGGACATTTTGGTGCTAAAAGAATACTGGCACGAGTTTGTGAACATTTTTTTTTGGGTCAGTTGCCGACGGGATGTAGCTGATTGGTGTAAAAAACGTAATGTATGCAATGGCAAGACAAAGGTTTACGGATTCGCTCGGGGCCGACTGAAAGCTAACAACGATAAAGCAGACGCCAGAATCGACAGGCGGGCCACAAGGACACATTTTGAGAGAGGCGACCCAGTATGGCGGTGCAATCCCAAGCCCCGAGGAGGACTTTGTCAGAAATCGCAACGGAACTGGGAAGGCTCCTATGCTGCCCTTAAGAAAAATCAACGACCTGATCTACCGCATTCAGCTGTCAACGAGAAGTAAATCCAAGGTAGTTCCCATTGAAAAGTTAGCGCCATGCCGTGGTCCAGATCCCCGTTAGCTCCAATCAGGTCCCAGTAATCAAGTTATTCGGAGCGAATAACTAGAGAGGAGGGAGCAATGTTACGCAGCACCTTGCAGCGTGCTGCAATCGTCATAAGTAAAAGTACTAGTAAATAAAGAAGAACATAGAATAGTCCAGAAATTTCAGAAAATGTCATTCATTGTCAAGAAAAATCTAGACATTTCGAGAAGTTTCGAGAAGGTGAAAGCAAGTTATATAAGCCAATGATCCTGACGTCAGTTTTCAGTTTCATGATAGACGTTACACGTTATTGTTATCAGTTGTGAAGTTATTGTAAAAGTTGAATTAAATAAAATTAAGACATCAAAAACCAATGTAACAATAAACTAGTTAATTTTACAGCTACTTAGCCGCCTCCTAAACAAAGTCTGGGAAGTAAATAGAAGCTTCAGGACTACGTTAATAACTTTTGTTACATATGCTCTTCACACAGCAGTCTGTGAAGAGTATTTTCGGTTTAATTTCGAGAAACCAACATTTTTAATAGTGGTCCAAATTTTAAAAAAATTATCCCAAAATCCTTCTTATCAAATTTTAAACAACTTTTAAAAAAAGTCCGTCTGTCTGTCCGATGTCACGATTTTTGTCCACACGATAAATCATGAACGAAAAATGATATAAACTTCAAATTGTCAGGAAACATCAAGTTCTATAAAGGGACAACGCCTATTATCATTAAAAATGGAGGCAAAAAGGAAGTTGAAATTAAAAAAAAAAAGAGAAATCAAAAACGAAAAGCGATATCATCACGAAATTTTGAGTAAAAGCTCTATGAAGCGATGAATATTAAAAAAAAAATCCTAACTTAGACACAAGAAAAACGATCTCTATGAAGCCTATTGATTCCAAAAAAAAAAACAAACAATAAAACTAAGGATTTGAGGGGATCTGTTAACCTGTGAAGAGTATAATCTAGAATGACGAGCATTCTAGGTAAATTACTTATTTACATTGTGATTTACTTCAGAATCTTTTTAAAAAACTAAATCATTAAGGCTAGTAAATAAATATTTGTTTGCCTACTTATTATTGCACATTCAATTCTATAGAATCACATAAAAATCAAAGTATGTGTATAGAATAGATTTGGAGTAATATCAAGGTGGAAGTAAGAAAGACAAATGTCACTCTTATGTTGTGTCAAAGTCAGTTAGATGTCATACCAAAGTATATTAACCGTTGAGTAGCGGCAGCTGGGGAACCGAATTCTAGTGCGCCGACGCGAAATAGAGAGACGAGATGTCTTCTAAAGATGTAAACAACCCCTTTCACTTTAGTCCGGCAGCTGATATAGAAATTCGTTGTTGTGGATTTATTAGTCAAAAATTGTATTCAGCGACATGTTTAAACAACGCGAAATTTAAAGTTTGAGACAACTCGATTAATAAATAAGAAGGTCCGTAAGTAATAATTTCTATTCTTATCAAAAATCAAAACCCTGTGCACCTACCAACTTTCAAGTCTCTAGCTCATCCGGACGTAGGTAAAAAAATTGAAATTTATCAATAGTGATATATATTTTTATATTTATTACATAAGTTAAATATTCATAAATATAAAACTGCCTAATGACCAAACCTTTATTATAAATGTAAACTACAAAAGAGTTTTACTTCAAATTACGTCGAGCAGTGTAAACATCACATTCAAGACCAGTTCATAATTCGAGCAGTGTTTTAGTGTGTCGTTTCGTCAATAACGTCAAAAGAGAGAGAAAGAAAATTTGCATCACCCAAGATCAAAGGCATCGACGCTTTATGTCGCTACTCAACGGTTAATAGGTTAATATACTTTGGTCATACTGGAAGTTTTTGCAGGAATATATCCAGAAATATGGACTAATTGTGTTCGCCATGTCAAGAATATTGAAATATTCTTGCATCATAAATTTGGAAGATGAAAGTGGTGATTTATTTTTTTTATTTTCGATTTACTTAACCAATTTTAAAAAATAATGCATTTTATTATAAAAGAATTATTAAACTCAAAACACCATTTAGTGTTTTGAGTTTTGTATAAATTTAGAAACATAAAATATATAAGATTGAACTGATTAAAATTGAAGGGGTGAATGGCAGAAGGCGTTATCTAACATGTTGTTAAAAATTGACTTTTATATCTAAATGAAGGTGTTATGTCGATATCTACCACCAAAAAATTCTTAGCGGTCTCTTTCTACTATTTACGAAAATATTTCAATATTTCTGAATAATTTGTTACATAAAGTGCTTTTATTATTGTTATAGAAAGAAATAATATCTGCCTTTTAACGTTGATAAATACAGACTTTTTAAACTTACACAAATGCAATCTGCAACTGCTGATAGAGGATAAAAAACTACATTTATGTATTTAAATATTTAATAATAAGAGAGTAATTAATTTCAGATGCAATATTTGAAACTTTGCGGACTGTTTTCTCAGAATACTAATTTTGTTACTTCTGCATTCACCTATTCAATTATTTTTCTGTTATAAAATAATTTGTGGTAAACCTTTAGTAATATAAATTTATCATGACTATGGGCAAATTACACTTAAACATATAAAATAAATTTAAAAACCTCGACAATTTCAAAATACTTTCAAATTACAAAGTAAGTACTTACCCCAGCTAGGGAGAACTAAAAAATCAAGAACGTTTCCAAAGAAAAAAATTGGTTTCGGACCGGGTACATTTTTCAAATATTTACTATTTTTTCTAGAAATTATATAGTAAACAATGAACAACAATAATGCAACGACCACAGATGTAATCATCTTTCTAAGAGTACATAAATGTAAAAAAAATTAATAACTGAACTTCTCATTCGTATGCATATAAGAAATAAAAAAAGTTTAAGGGTTATTGTTTTTTAACGTATTCTTTTGAGTGATTTATTTGTTATTTTCTCTCTGTTTAGATAATTAAAAAAAGACATTAATTCCAGTCGTAATTACTTTAAATTAATAAAAATTGCTTGCCAAAGTAGTCATTATATTTGTAGTTTGTTAGTTCACAGAGATACGAATTGATAGATTCGTCTTTTTGGTTCTTGTATCTCTATTTTGACTTGTCAAAAGAGACTATTAGGCATTCCAACTACCTGTCCAAATGTCTACCAGTGGGTAATGACAGTTTAGATATGGCAACCCTGTTGTCATGTTGTCATTAACAGGGTCAATGATACATATATAGTTAAGAGAGTTGATAGTCGTTGCTGACTAGTTAATAATTAAACCAGTAATTAGTGGGGAATGCAGCAAATGAAAGAGTACTTTTTTAAGTTTATTCCAAGCTTTCGGAAATGTTTATTTCCATCATCAGGGAGACTAAAATAAAATAATACCACATATTATGATAAAGTAAGGTAAAAAAATTTTTTTGTCATCACTTACATCTTAATTAAGGTTGTTCATTTTGGTGGTATTATTAAGTTTAGTGTAAAAATACAAAGTAAAATGGACAAGCTGAAGTCAATTACAAAATAATATTATACACAAACAATAACTACGATACTTTAAAAATTAAAAAAATATAAATAACGAAAGGTCAATTTGACAATTTGACATGACAAGTAAAATTTTAAATAAATAACAAGTTATTAGAGGTTAGGAAATAAATGTGGATAATGCTATGTTTACATACCATTAATATTTTTTAAATGTTCAAAGAGTGATTTTTATATTAAATTAGCTCTGTATTATTTAAATTATGAATTTGGTTTGGTTTATTGTCCAAATCCAATAAATAAGAATAAATTACACTTAAATTGTTAATATCTGTCTTTTTGTTCATGGCTTTCATTTCACAGGAACCAAATTCTATTATAATCATGGGTGAAAATTTTTGTATTAGATTAATTACATAAACAGCAGATACATTTTTGTTGGGATGGTTTTCGTTAAATAATGCTGCCGTCTGCGAATAGTTTCTGTTTGCAATCCCATATAAAACTACAATTTCAGTTCTTTCTTCCAAACTGTAAACCATTTTTCTTTTTTTTTATCTATTTAATTTAAACTAAGTCAAATTTTTTCGAAAACTTTTGTACTAACGAGTAAACAGAAGTGTCACAATATTATTTGACAGTTCAAGCAACGAAGCAGCTTTCATGGCTTGCTATTATTTTTTGCTTTCGATATTTGAATATCTGGTATCTGTACCTTTAGCTGTAAATATCTTTCAAAGTTCATTATGTAATTAAGTAATTTTTTCACGTAGAGATATTAAATAAACTACGCTCTTTCATTCATTCATGTAAAAAAAATACAGGGTGTCATTTAAACTTTTGAACCGGGGGTGGCTGAGGGCGGCAGATATCACGTTGGAGGGATATCTTATACACTATTAATTTACCCCCTACTTCCTTAATGACCTTCCAAAATTTCAAGTCGATATATTTTAAAACACCAGAAATAATTCCATTTATTTATTAACGACTAGCGATGAAAGTGACCCTAAACAAATTGCATTTTAATTTTTTAAAAATGTATTTTTTTTAATTTCTTTAAAAATATATCGATATATTCAAAATATCGATATTTTTTATTCGATATATCGAATCTATCAATATATTATTTCGATACATCATATGATTCAATATATCGATATATTTGTTTATTTTGCCATCCTTAAGTTTATGTGGATGGAGATGCCTAATGTGGAAATCTTCAATTTTTTCATGTAAAAATGTAAAAATTAAATAATTAATGATTAATTATTAAATGAGTATGAATCATTTAAATTTTCTTAAGTACGGATCTGTAATTGTAATTTTTATTGGTTTTTGTGAATGTTACTTCAAATTTAATGAGTTTATTTCAGGAATTTCCATGAAAAAGTTAGGTAAAATTAATTTTAATGCAGAAAAAAATAATTAAAACCCTTTCAACTACATTTTGCATAATGTACATTTTAACTTTAGATTTTTGGTAGTAAAACGGCATACAGAAAAATTAAAAGTTGAATGTATTCAGTTTTTTGTTTTTTCCAAATTTAAAATTCAATTTTTAAAAAATTAATGTATAGGGTGTTGTTTTAGGGTGAGTAAAATTTTAACAATTTTGGTTAAGCCGGACCTGGATTTTGAATTTTTTTTTAATGTGTCGATAACTTGTCCTATAGGTGCAGATTATCCCCTGGCTGACCTCTATATATGGGTAAAAAATTTCCATTTCCCAATGAAACACCCTGTATAATAGTATTACATTAATATGGTAGCAATAGTAACCGATCGCAATAGAAGGATAACTGTGTAATCAAAGGACTTTTTACCTATTTTTAAAGGTATAGAAATACACTAAATTGTTTAAGGCACTTATACCGTAGTTTGTATACATAATAATAGTAGTTTGGGCAAACAAGAGTGGATATATGACCATATCGCACGGAGAAGACTTTTTTTTGTCAGAATTGTCACTTACTTCAAATTTAAAAAAATAATTGTAGCTGGGCGACCAAAATATGAACTGTCATTGGTGGATTTCATATTTGTGCACTCTTCCTACCAGGTAGAATGGATATGAAATATATTCATGCAGTTGGCCTTTTGCGTTTTTTAATACGTGCGTAGAATACACCATTTGGGTGTAGAAAAAATCTTGTTAGAATATTGCTAAAAATTTTTCAATAATTATAATGTTAACTAAGTTATTATACTGAAACTCCAATCTGTAATGATTTAAATCTACTTTTTTCTTTTAATTGGAATGCAATAATAAGTATATAAATACCATTATATATATTTTCTCTCCAATAAATAAAAAAAATACCATTGATCCTTAAATATATTACTGACAGTATCTATATTAAGTTTAGATAATAAAAATAAAAGGACACTAGTGGAAACCAAAGATAAACTTATTTAAACATTTTAATTTTAATAAACAATCGGAAATATTGCGATATACTGGATAATTTGAACCAATAATTGTTTTTTTTAGTTATCTAAAATTGATAAAAATGTTATAGGTTTTATTAATTTGGAACATCCGAACTGGAATATGTTATTTAAGTCATATTTACCGACAATCATTTTTAAAATATAAACAATTTATTTAATTTTTAAACTGGTACAAAAGTTTGATATAAATACTTACTCGTCCACTGTACTTACCAGATTTAATTAAAATTTTAAATTATTTATGAGTTTGAAGTGTATCGTGCATAAATTGTTATACTCTTCTGTGAAGAGTGGTTTACTTTCAAAAACAAAATTTTTAATATTGATTCAAAATTTAAAAATTTTATTACCAAAATCCATCTCATCAAATTTTAACTTTTAAAAATATACATTTGGCAACTGTGTCAACAAAAACTTGAAGCAAATGTAAGAAGTTTAGCGAAAATTACCCGACGATATCTTTTTCTATTTTCGAGTTATAAGTTGCTAAAATGTATTACTTTATAGTGGGACACCCTGTATTTTATAGAAAAATTTACTTCTAACACCAAATATGAAGAAAAATATTCAAAATATCTCAATATTCTTGAACAAATAGGATGAACTAATGTGGTATAGCGTTTTAAAATAATTACTTTACATTAAAAATCTTTTATTCATATTTTTAAGTAATTTCAATCAAAGTTAGCCCTACTGCTTATGCAACATTCATTACTAAGATAAATTTTTATAAAAATCAATTTATCGTTGATCGAGGAACGTCAATATCTGACAGGTCAGGTAAAAGGCAAGGCCTTTTTTGGGGTTTTCAAGAAAGTGTGTTATTTTGCATAAGTACAGGGCTTTTCATTATATTTTGACCGCTACTTATTTTCATTATTATTGCGAACACAAAAAATAGTTTTAAGTAAAAGCTTTGTTGTTTTACCTGAACTGACTTAAAATGTAATAACTGGTTGAATTATATAAACAGGGCCTCCCAACAAAATATAATTTCATTTTTTTTAATGGGACACCCCACAGAAAAATAAAAAGAGAAGGTTTGAATAAATGGTGGGATTTGTTTTTTGTTGGTAGTTGAACCGTAAGCGCTTAGCGCGCTGCTATCACTAAATTCAAACCCGTTTTACTAGTTTTATAAAAAAATATGTTTTCAAAAAGAATGACAAAGAAATCAATAATTTTACTGATTTACCCCTTTAAATTTCACTTTAATATAATGTGTGATCAAATACAGGGATAATCGTTAATAAATTTAAAGTTAAAGCTAAATTTAAATATTATTAGATGGTGTAAATCTGGCTTTGAAAATAAATTAGGTTATGTTGCTATAAATATGTCAGCCTGATATTATTTTCATTTTCAAATGCAGATGATATTTTTTTCAAATGTAGGTGAGTAAATTGTATTAATTAAGTGTAAGTTAGATTTAACTAATTTAACTATAGGGAGATTCTTAAGAAAATCATTAACTTCTGATTCATTTAAATTTTAATTGCAGAAGTATTTTTCTCACAAAACTAACAAGAAATTTTATGTTTTTCCTGCTATTATTACTCTAGAGATAAATGAATCCACATTTTAAACATTTGTGGTCAAAAAAATAAAAGGAGTTGTGAGCGAAATGTGTGAAGCCAATTTACAAACAAATATTGTAGAACCCGAGAAGAACCTCATCCTAGTTTTACTAATAAAGACCATGATAAAGGCGAATGATTTGTGATCAAAAAGTTATTGTTCAATTTTTGGGTGATATTCATTATTATATTTATCAAATAATACCCAAATATGTTCAAAAACTTATATGCTATTTAGGTCAACTTGTTAATTTTTGCATAATTCACCTATTAAGATCATAAATCAGATGTTTTCTATTTTTATTGAAATTTTTATACCTTTTATTGCAAGAAAAATTTAATTTTAAGACACACACACAGCACCTTTATTTTTGTTTTGTTTTAGATATTCCTAGGTATGGAGATTTTTCGAATGTGCATAAATGTGTTTCTTAATTAGGGTGAGTTTCAAAGCCCACCTGTATTGAAGCTAGAGGCTTATTGTACCCGAAATAGGCATTACAACTATTCTAGATTGAAATAGATGGGAAAAGGCCTTAAAGGGACAATAAGTATAAGAATTTTAGATTTAGAATGATTTGTCCTTGGATTAATAAGGGATATTTAAAACATTAAAACAATTGTGTTTATAAATTAACTACTTTGACTTTTTATAAAAACTATATCCGGTTTTTTTAATAATAAAAACATTGTCCTGTGCTATGCTGGTTATCATATTATATTTTATTTTTCAGTAATTTAGTGTGTGATATAGTGCTTGTTATGTTCAAAATATGCAGTTAGAAGATAATGACATGGTAATTCTAAATAAATTAAACTTATTAAAAATGTGTTTTATTTTTCAACTAATTTTATTTTTCAGTTAAAACAAGTGATATTTTCCATTTTTCAACATTTACCTACAACAAAAATTTACTAAACTTATTGTTTGTTTAGTAGTTGTAAGTAAAAGTTGTCAAATAGGAAAATGTTACTTCAAATTGCTTCAAATATCTAAATTATCAAGCCCGCTAATTTTTAAATCGCTTTAATTAGTAGTGTTCTACTTTATCGACTGAAACTGACAGGTGTAGTTGAACTGTAAGCGCTTAGCACGCTACTGTCGAGGTCAAGCAAACTTTTTTTTTTTAATTTGGACTTGTTACCAACTATTTACATGGAATCCGACCCCCGTGGGACACCTTACATAATTTTGTCATTTTAAGTAGACTTGCATTTCCTGATTACAAATATATAATATTTTAATTATTTAGTGACTTATTGCACTATGAAAGCGTAACACATAGATGGCTATGAAAATGATATTTCCAAGTGAAACAGTTCTTTCTTTATTAAAAGTTGTCAATTCATTGTTTGTAATGGGTTAGTAAAAGTTGAGGTAAAACAACAAAGATTTTACTTGAAACTTTTTTTGTGTTCACAAGAATAATAAAAATAAGTAGTGATCAAAATATAATAAAAAACTCTGTAAATGGATATTTATATTTTTAGTTTTTTCTCTATAAAGTCATGCCAGTGTCGTGTAAAATAGTGTTTTGATGATTTTGTGCAAATTTAGAATAAATCAAGACTTTAAATTATCGACGGAACCAGAATTACAAATCGTAAGTTTCCTGACAAAATCTATTTTTATACATTGCCAACCTTTCATTCTTCGATATAACCATTCAAATGCAATGTAAATTTTGATTTAAGAACGATGTCACTTTATACAACAAAATTAGAAAAAATATATTATTTATGTTGTTATTGTTTATCCTACAATGTGGAATTTACAACTTTTAGTGATCATCCTACTAATGAAGGTAGTAAATTCACAGGCTTTTCTTGATTTGAATATTGAAGGTATAACAATATTATAACAATCGTGCAAATTAATTAAAAATGGGATTTCTATCATGCGATATCATTTTAGAATACCTAAGCTTTAATTTTCATATTAAATTGCTATTGGCGTCATTAGAGGGGGATTCTTATTTTGGGCAACAGTCGGCAGTCACGATATTGTACGGAGTACAGTAGCGTAACAACTTCTAGAGGTACGAAAAATCTTTTCTATATTGACTCTCAAAGAAACCAAATAATATTTATAAACAGTGTATTGCCTTGTTATTTTTCTATAAAAATTATATACTTGACTTGTTTACTTTTTTGACAATCAAATCTTAAAATATATATAGTCATAGTAACAAAAAAAATAAAACAAAATAAAATCTAACATTTCTCCCCCTCGGTGAAATCTTCACTACTAGTCATTTCTAGAAGATCTAACCTACAAATTTTTGAAGTTGGTCTTCTATATGTTCCATGTTTGGTTTTCACTTCTGCCACTCGAATTTTGTTGTCTTTTCCTGGAAATACTGCTACTACTTTCCCCAATGGCCAATTATTTCGAGGTAATTGATTATCCATCAAAACTACCATGTCTCCAATTCTTAAATTTGAATTTTCTTGGAACCATTTTGTTCTTTTAGTTAATGTGGGCAAATATTCCCGTATCCATCTATTCCAAAAATTATCAGCAAGTATTTGTGATAACTTCCATTGTTTTCTTAAATTCCATGTCTTTTCTTCTAATACTATTGGCGCCTTTACTATACTTGATGTTCCAAAAATAAAATGATTAGGTGTTAAACTTTCAACATCTTCAGCATCCGAAGAAACATATGTAAGAGGTCTGCTATTTACAATTTGTTCAGCTTCAAGTAAAAACGTGAGAAGTACTTCTGGTCTAGGTATTCTTTCTTTAAGTGTTATTTTTAGAGCAGTTTTTACTGATCGCACCATACGTTCCCATGCTCCAGCCATGGTTGGACTAGCAGGTGGTAAAAATCTCCATTCTGTTTCTTGAGACCTCAAATATTCCTTGATTAATTTTTCATCTATATTTTTGAATACTCCCTTTATTTCTTTAGCTGTCCCTCTTAGATTTGTGCCGTTATCACTTAAAATTAATTTTGGTTGTCCCCTTCTGGCGATGAATCTTCTTAAGGCAAGAATTGTTGAATCAGATGTTAGATCATCTGCTAGTTCTATGTGAATAGCTCTAACTGATGGACAAGTAAACAGAACACCATATCTTTTTTCAGTTCTTCGTCTGACTCTCACATTATAAGGTCCGAAATTGTCCATACCAACAAAAGTAAATACTCTCTGAGGTCTTTCTAGACGATAACTTGGCAATTCTCCCATCTCTGGTATTCTCGGTTTAGCTCTTCTTAATCTACATAAAAGACAACGTTTACATGCACTAACAACTGCCTTCCTTCCTTGAATAATCCAAAATTTTAATAGAACATCAAATTCCTCTGTTTTGTTAATAAAAAACACATTTTCTTCTTTCGTATCAATACATTTACACTCTGAATCTTCTTTTGGCCAACAACGAAGAAAATTAGGCCCTGTGAACCATCTGGAAATATGTTTTTATACCAAATTACTTTTTCTTTATTGATTAATAGTTATAGATAATATATATTTGAAATTAGAAATAATGATTATGATGTAGCGATATTCTTCTTATTGTAATCGAATTCTGCACATCTAAAATTGTTGCAACATCATTATATTTCCTAATAAACCAAGGGACATAAATTTCATATAAGTGTCAGTTTGAAATTGAAATTAATTCATAAAGTATTGAACATGAATCCTGGATATGTTTTAAATATATTTTCCTCCCTGATATAATATTTCGCAACGTTGTAACATTCTATAGTGTGCTTTTGCGCTGAAATATACATCAGTAATGACTTTTAATCCTAATTTTCTTCTATATGTCTAATTAAATGAATAAATGACTGTTTTCTTGAAAAAATAAATAGCATTATCGATTGTGTCTAGATAAATTTGATTAAAAATTGTTAGAGTTCATGTGTATTTAATAAAAATAAATAATTAAAACTGCCGTATACATTTTTATGTCTTTTAATGTAACAATAAAATGTATATGTAAAAAAATATCTGAAATGAAATTAAAAAAATTCATTCTTTTCCTTTAGGTCTACCATTTTCTTGTGGCTAACTTCACTCGAACTCCATTAGCTGACTTCAATACTGCTTCAGCGACCAAAATCAATTTATGTTTTGGAACTGTTGGTAAAATTTCAAAATTTCTCAGCAATTTTGAAAGTGTTGACTTCATTTCCAGCATGGCGAATTTCTGGCCTATGAAAACAATCAAATTATGTTTGTTTTACTGAATTTACTTTGTTTATTTCTTGTTAAACTAAATCGTAAGACTATTGATATTTAAAAATTTATTTTTCCAGAGTGGCAGAACTTTCGATAAAAAATTATAATTTTTTATATACGAATTACATTGCTAAACTACATGGTGTCCTAATGAAAAGTAGCCCATTTCCAGAGCTTATAACTTTTAAACACCTAATCGCAGAAACGTGCGGTTTTTGCTGTGTTATTTCGCTATAAGTTTTGCTTCAGTGACACAGAAATTATGTATTACCTATACAGGGCGTTTGTTAAAAATCTCCTCTTTTAAATTCACCGTAAAAAGTTATAAGCTCTGGAAACGTACTACTTTTCATTGGGACACCCTGTATAATATTTAAAGGAACATTTTTACTCTAACAAACAGGGTGTACTATTAAGAAATATTTATGACGCCATAAATAGATGAAATAAAAGAAAAAAAATTAAATCACCTAAAAAGAAAGCAATTCAATGTGATGTATTTTGGTCAAAATGTAATTATAGAAGTTATATGAATGTTTATGCGTTTCTTTTGGGTCACACTATAGAATTTAATAGTATATATAATTAGAAAAAAGCAAGTTGCAAGCAAACATAAATCTCTGCCTGAAATACTGAGTTTTATATTGCATAGCTAAGGTTGGTGTTAAGGATTTTGGAAAATAGTCCAGCCTCGGTGCCTTCCTTTATTATTTTAGTGCTTGGCATGTCACTCCTGTAGATGTTCAGAGAGTTTCTTCTCAAACCAGTATTATTTGTTTTACTGACTTAATTAGTTTGTTTACCAAGTAATTTAAAACAAAAAATAGGACGTACCTATACAATTTCTGGGTCCAGCACTAAAAGGAATATATTGGTATGGTCTTTTTCCATCTACCTGTTCAAACCTACTGGGATCGAATTTTTCTGGATTTGGGTAGTAATCAGGATCACGAAGAACACCATAATCAAAAACCACAATGTTTACTCCTTTTGGAATAAGATTGCCTAGAAAATTCAATTTTTTTAATTAATTAGATATATCTTGGTAGGATTCCCCACTCGACCATTCACTGTTGGGTTTTAATTAACAATGCTGTTCCTAAAGTGGCGCTGGGAAACATTAACAAAGCCTACACAGAACACGAGGCGAAATAACCCTGGTAGTTGAAGCCGATGACACACCAACAAAAAAAAAATTAGATATAAGTAAAACAAATTTTTAGGTAAATAGGTATAGATATGCAATGTTTCATCATATACAGTGCTTATTTTTTCGTGTTAGGCATACGACTAGTAAAAAAGTTAATAAAATGGCAACAGGGCAAGAGCCAATCGTTGACTACAATTTGAAGACATGGTGGTGGGATAATAGACGAACAAATCATAGCGATAGCGGAGATATCGTAGTTCGTAGTTGCCACATGTTGGCAGTAGGAGCACGGCTATGCCTAATACAAAATAATAAGTACTGTGTCTACGATTAGCTTTAAAGGTAATCTTTCACGAAGCCTATAGTGCCGCATGTCTAATTTTATACTTTAATTTTTTTTTTTTTTTTAATCAAATAATAACATTATGGATACAAAAAAGAGTCAAATGTCCAATGCAGACATTTCTTGTTTAAGTTGTATTCAAGACGACGTTATTTCGTCATCACTTTCATCAGTTCCATGATATTTGTTAAGATCTGAGCAGATGCGTTTAATGAAATGTTACATACAAACACCTTCGAATAAATAAGAAAAAGGAAATGTCTTTAGTATAATATGGAGTGATGCACATAAAATGTTTCTAAAGTAGGCATTGAAAAAGTTCTCGCATGACGACACGTGCAATTCTTCTATTTTGGGTAAGCTTTAAAAATTATTATTTAAAAGTTACTTGTTTGATTATTACTTAATTAATTGGTTTGGCCTTCAGGGACAGGACTAGCCTGATGTATTATTACTATTTGTTAGATGTATTTCCAACAAATATAATACAACGTTCCCAGAACAAAATATTAGGATCAATAGTATCTATTAAGTGTAAAGGTTAAAGAAAAGGTCCTTTATTTCTCACAAGTCAATTTTTGACTTGTGAGAAATAAAGGACCTTTTCTTTAACCTTTACACTTAATCCCTACTACTCACATATGGCTACCCTTACTCCAAATCAATAGTATATAATCGCCCCTTGGTATGTAAGGAATTCACAGAGATCTGAGGATACCAACAGACGAAAAACAGAGGAAAAACGTGGCAAAAAAATATAGAAATGTCTGCCTGATCACGTCAATATTGAAGTTATATAGTTCCTAGACAAACACTACCTAATGGAAAGGGTCAGAAGACACTCTTAGTTTTAAGATTTTTAAATTTATTTAAGTAGGTATATAATAAAGACAAATTATTGGTTGACTAAAATATAGCTAGGTGAAATATAAATAAAAAAAGAGTTTGGATTTATTTCAGAGCAGTTTGTAGTTATCATCAATATGACTTTTATATCTGTCTGCCAGTTATGGCTTACTTCAGAAGTAATTTTTGTGAATCACTCCTTATAATGTTTTTTGCTTTAACCTTTGTCTAAAAAATGGGTCATATCCGTAATAACTACTTACAACTTTGAATTAAATCCAAACTAACACTTCAAAATAAGAAAAATTGTACGGTAGGCCTACTTTAGAAACATTTTTTTGCGGCTCACTCAATGTATTAGATAATTATATTCACGAAATCAATAAATGTTTAAAAATGCAACGATATGGCTAAAAGAAAAGACAATTTTATAAATCCATTAAACATATCAATCATTGTGGTTTTACCTTTAAAATAGAAGTCTTCTTGCACGTGTCTACCATACATTGGTACTGATGGGCACAGTCTTAATGTTTCTTTAATGACACATTCCAAATATTTCATTTCATGGAGATCTTTGATTGTCGAGGGTCGGAATTTATCATCTCCAAATATTTCTTTTTGTTCTTCAAGGATTCGCTTCTACATTTTTTAAATTTAGAACATTATTAGTAATAGGCGTTAGGCAATTCTTTAATTTTCTGTACTAGGTAATTTGATAACGGTTCAGAAAAAATAGAATGCAAGAAGGTAGATAAGTGCCTAGGTGCTTAATATTATTTTTTAAATGTTATCATATTATTTGTTGTATTCTTTTTAATAAACTTATTACAGAACAGTAATGTATGTTTTACTGTTTTGTAATAAGTACCTATTTTTTGTATCTTTATCATTAAATAAAAGTGTTGGAATTTTAATAGTTTTAATTTCAACAAAACAAAATCAATAGGGCAAATGAAAACCACAGACTAACCATATTTTGATTGAAACGCATAGCCAGATTTACTAGTTTTATATTATTTTTATAAAACTATCTTGTGCGGTCGTAAAAAAATTAATATAAATCACTTTCCGTATTCGTAATGTAATATACTATAAAATATTTGTATAATTATTGTGAACATACCTGAACTTCAGGGTTTTCAGATAAAAAGTGAACACAAAAAGTCATTGCAGAAGCAGTGGTATCATGTCCCTAAAACAAAAATTAGTTTTATTTATAAATTTTCTTCTTTTATTTTCCAATAATTCGACTTACCTCGAACATAAAAGTATCTACTTCCTCCCTAATATCCTCCCTAGTTAAAGGTTGTCCATCCGTAGTAGTAGATCTCAACAAAATATCCAGAAACGCCAATCTCTTCTTTCTACCCAATTCATCAACCTCTGTCTTGATGTCATCGTTAATTGTGCTTCTTCTCGCATCAATGACAGAGTTAGTAACGCCGTGCAATTGTTTTAGTGCACGTTTTTCACGATAGTAGTCTAGAGTTAGTGGATAAGTTATATCAAATCTTTTTATTACGGATATGGTGCGAACTAAGCTGATTTTACACATTAATTTGACATTTTGGACGTACGCCGAATTCGCGTCTTTTTGAGCATTAACTGAGACGCCCATGGCGGTTTCTAAAACAAAAGATTCTGTAATTATTGTCTTAGTGATTGATAGTAACGAAGTATTATTAGTTGAAAGTAATTATTCACTCTTTTTAGGCTCCATTCATGCAATAAAAGTATTAGTCCAGTCAGTGGCTCTGAAATTCCTATATCTTGAAAAATACGTTATATAAAACGTTTAGTAATTATTTTTTGTAATTTTTGAGTTCTTTGAAATTTTTTATAGTGAGTGTTTTCATTTCAAATTTGATATTTGAATTCAATATGTGGAAATAATTTGGATAAGATTGTTTCTAATTTCGGTAGCATATGTAAAGTGAAGAAAATAAAATAAAAATGCAAATTAGAAAAATGAAACGTAAATGAAAAATAAAAGAACATTTGGAATCAAATAAAGACAAGTATTAGAAATTAAAAATTAAAAAAAAACCGACTTCAAAAACGTGCAGATGCCATCACCACATCTTAACCAAATTTATATGGGACCACCCCTAACAAAAAAATAATCATATAAATCGGACAAGGTGGTAAAGCATTATCGCTAAACATACATAAAAAATTAAGAGTTTGAGGATTTTTTCATGGACCCAATTATTAGATTTTGACCAAATTTATATGGGACTACCCCTGAAGTAGCCCCTTTCTAACAAAAAATTATTGGAATCGGACACCGTGTTAAAAAATTATCGCTGAACATACATAAAAAAATATATCGCAACGAATTGAGAACCTCCTCCTTCTTTGAAGTCGGTTAAAAACAAAAATAGATATAGAAGAAGTAAAGGAAGAACAAATTAACACAGAAATTTAAGAGGTAAATGTAAAAATAGAAGAGGTAAAAGTAGAAATTGAAGAAAAGAAAAGTAATGAAAAAACAGATCCAGATTGTAGGGAAAAAAGTAAATACGAAAAAAAGAAACTGAAATTAAAGTAATTCCACAATTTTTTTTATTTTTTTATTTTTTATTTTTTATTTGTTTTATTTTTTTTTTAATATTTTTTTATTTTTTTTATTTTTTTTTTATTTTTTTTTATTTTTTTTAATTTTTTTATTTTTTTTTTATTTTTTTTTATTTTTTTTATTTTTTTATTATATTTTTATTATTTTTTTATTTAATTTTTTTATATGAATAAGAAAATGCACGAATTGTTTACTTAGATCGTCATTCATGCTAAAAACGCTAAAAAGACTAATAGATATACGAGACGAAATACTGATAGGAAATCCTCTCAGCGACCCTCAATATGCATATCAACAAGTCGATCGATCTCAACAGGCTATTGTCCAAATCTCTAGAGGACAAGAAATGGCAGTAGCAACTTTCGTAGATATTGACGGAGCTTTTAATAATGCCCAAACAAGATCTATAATAAACGCACTAGGAATAAAAGGGGTACCAGTAGTCCTGTGTCAGCGGATAAAAGCTAGCCTAGAAGAAAGGGCAATAACATCATCTTCAGGCGAAACTGCACCACAATAGTAAACTTCACAAAACAAAAAGTACGGACAGGACTAAAGTCACCAGTAATAAAAGGAGTGAAGATTCCTTTTGCTCAAGAGGCCAAATACTTGGGAGTCATCTTTGACCATAGGTTAACATAGAATCAACACTTGTAAAAAGTAACCCAAAAGAGCACAACATCCTTCAATTTATGTCGAAGGTTGTGTGGAAAAAAATTGGAACTACAACCGAAAATGTCCTTATGGCTATATACCAGAGTCATAAGGCCGATGATAACCTACGGGTCGGTGGTATAGTGGTCAAATACTCAGCAAGCTGAAGCCATTCGACAGCTCAATGGTATTCAAAGACAAGCATGCCTAAGTACCAAGGAAGTCATGAGAATGACTACAACAGCAGCTAGAAGTCATGCTTAACCTAACACCACTACATATATTCATTCAAGGCGAAGCCAGGTTTGTCACATACAGACTGCATAAAGGTTCACCATCCATAAACAGTTTGCATGGATGTGACTACAGCGAGTTAGAGCACGACCAAATAATGGGAATGCCTTCAGACGAAATTCTGCCGAAGCAAAAGCAGTATAAAGTAAGTATACCAGACAGGAAAGCAAAATTCATCTGGTATACAGGCTCCAAAACTCATGAAGGTTCAGGAATAGGTATATAAAGTATCAAGCCAAAGACAAGAATCTCACTGAGCTTAGGTAAACATGCGACAGTATTCCAGGAAGAAATAGCCGCAATACATCACTGTGCAAAAGAGGTATTAAGGCAGAAGGTAAATAAAAAAATCATTGTCATATACCTACTCAGACAGTCAAGCGAGGTTAAAAGCACTCAGTTCTATGCAGGTACATTCAAAGCTTATGTGGGACTGTTTGAAAGCCTTAATAGAGCTAGGTAGCCAAAACAGAATAACCTTAGCCTGAGTACCAGGCAACAGAGGACATAAGGGGAACGAAGTGGCTGATTTACTAGCCCGAGAAGGAGTCTCAAAGGCTCTTATTGACCCCGAATCCGTCTGTGGAGTGACAGACAATTATCAGAACATGCATAAAGCAGTGGATGTTTAAAAAATCTCAGAAATAGTGGAAAAATTCACCAGGACAGAGACAGTCCAAAAAATTCTTAAAAAAAACCATCGCCCAAACTTTCTGAGCATCTACTAAGCCTTAATTGGAAAAATACTAGAAAACATGTAAGTCTATTAAGAGGACTTGTAGGCTTAATGTATAATATCGGTCGGACAGAAGAGACCTTCTGTCAATTCTATCAGGAAGAGGAGGAAACTGCAGAACATGTATTGTGCTACTGCGAAGGTCTATCAAGACTGAGATTTCTTACACTTGAAGAAGAAAAACCAAGGGCAACTATAGCTACGCCGGATAACTACTTTCCAGTCTATGGAGTCTACAAAAGATCAAATTAGTCAAGGAGCTCTAAACAATGATTAAAGTATTTTCACAATAGGTCTGAAAAAGTCAAGGTGGGGGAGACCACGTGGCCCACAGTCCTAATTAAATTTAATCTAATCTTAACGGTGAATGTCTATATGCCTAATTTATTTGCTTGAAAAGTTGACAGCAGCTGTACGACCAACGGCGTCTATTCGCTCCGTGCGAAGTCATGGAAAGGGAAGCAAAAGCGATACTAGCGCTAGCTGCGGATAATTCGTGCATTTTAGGGGGATATTTTGTAATTTTGGCATATCAAATACACGTATACATTTTACTTTTTTTCAAAAAAGTAGGTAAAAACAACACAATAAGCAACCGGAGTTGCTGTGTTGAAAATTGTACAAATACTAGCAAAAAAAAACAGTGAAACTTATATAACAAATTTCACTAACAAAGTGGAAATTAAATCAAAGAAATAAATGGATAGGTGTACAATAAGAAGAAAAATTACCTTTATTTTTGTGATAATAACAGTAATGCTGGAAATAGTAGACATCAGAAACTAGAAAGTTTTTAAATAAACAATAAATTATCATTTTACGATGTTCTTTAATATCTCTTTATTCTTAAATGTTTATTCAGCAAGGACTAGATTTCAAGATTTCTGCCGTTGATTATAATATTTGGCTGGTATGCAATTTTGTGACTTACTGATCGGAAACCAGTTTTAACCATTCATTCTATGTTTTCTTTAGAACAAAAATGAAAATATAAGTAGCGATCCTTTTTATACATTTTAACTTCACGCTATTATAAATGGTTTCTTCAATGACAACTTATTAGACTTAGGCAACTTCTCATACATTTTCCAGTTAATACTGTTGCCTGCCTATATTTTATTATTGATTTTTAATGATTACACATAATTTTCTTCAATTTAAGCGTGAAAAATATATAATAATAATAAATTAATGTTTTAATTGTTTTATAAATCCATATACTTTTATTAAAACTAACATATATACTTTTTATTTACGAATTCTATTAAAAATTGTATTTGTCAGTATAGGCAGAAATACTCCTTTAATACCAAAACAAATTGGCGCTGCTAGCGAATAATAAATATTTTTTTATTTTTATAACTGATTAAGAAAATACACGAACATTTTTTTTTTGTATTTTTTTTCCTTTTTTCAGTTTTCTTATTTATAATTAAGAAAAGCTGGCAACCAAAAAGGAAGTGATTTTTTTTTTCCAAAGGCAACTTCGTATTATTTTAATTTTGTTAAAATTGAAGCCAATGAATCTTGTGTCAAAACTTTCCCACGCAAAATTAAGTTCTATAATCGTATAAATTTCATACTAAAATATTTGGTTATAGAAATCGTGGTGGTGACAATAGGTCATCATTCAAAAGTCTTAAGACAAAATCCTATTTCTATTCAAAAATACTAAAATAAATACAAAATATATTAAATATTAAAAATCTAAAATTAAATAAAATACAATATTCTTAAAATGTATTCTCTAATTATTTCTCCCTCAAGATCTAAGCCAATAAAAAAATTAAAAAATCTAAAATGGCTTTTAATGACAGAAAGGTAGAAATTATATTATCTTTGTTTTTACCATAAAACAATTTTGTACAAAACTGCATCATATTTATAGGTGAAGTTATCATTTAGGACAGATGTTCATAACATTAACTTAAGAAGAAAGAATGTGTTAACGCCTTCCATGCATTTATTATTAAAAATCTCACCTCTACAATCAAAAGAGCTTGGGAGTAAAATAACTTTTCCTCTTACCAATATATATCTTGTAAAAATAATAAAATTTCTTCATTCCATTAATTATAAAAAAGTCAGGTTAACCTGGTTTAAAATTAACAGTTTTACATCACTTTAAAAATTAGCATCATAAAATTATTATTAAAATATTAGGTATTCGACCTATGAAGAAAAACTAAATTTTATATGTTAGCTAGGAGCATTAAGTACTCTTTAGCCAGAAACATCTAGTATATACTCTACATATTTAGGTTTTTCATTGATTTCTCTTGACAGGTCTGATTTTATTTATCCTTATTTGCGTATAATAATAAGGTGTGAACAATCGAATATGTCACTCTTGTGAGAACCTAA